TTTCGTTGAATAGAAAATACTTTTCAGAATCGATTTAACAAGCAATATTTCAACTATACGAAATCATTTTTCAACGCATTATTAAAATATGTTGTAAGTGTTCTATAAGCTGTATTTGCATGTGAAATTCTGAAAAGGAACACCACGAAGTACAAGGAAATTGCTTTGGCTTAAAGGAGAGTAACGGATGTAAATAATTTATCATCCTTTATTTCTTAGTGGATCTTGATGTATCTTGTTCGTATAAGTTAACATGCGATTTTTGTTTGGAAATATAACTAGATACATTTGTACACATTTGAATTAAATTTGTATGATAGTATTGTATCCGTATACATCACAGAGGAGATAATAGTTAGCTAGATAAGACATACTGGTAGAAATTCCTCAGGAGTAATTACAGTGTACACCACTCTTCTCTACCTCAAATTTCTATAAACATTTGTAGCAATATGTGCGATATATATGTGTGACAAAACTATTCTATTATGTATAATTTGTGCTTTGTTGATCTACAATGAGTTCAGTTACCCAAGGGCGCAATTGTGTTTTAATTACTTTGCAATTCAAGATCATTTCTGTATTTAGATGCAATTTGCCATTGGCTCTGATGAATGATACTACCTAATAAAAGGCCAAAGTCAGATATTAGAGGACCACGGTTTAAACCACCTACTTAAAATAAATTTAAAAATGATTGCGTAGAAAAAAAGTATAATGAAACTATGATGAATAGTTTAAACCTAATGTAGTACTTCATTCATTTGTTCCAACGTGGGAGGCAATTGTGCGAACCAAATGTTGTGTTCCGAGGAACTCGCCAAATTGTAACTTCTAAAACAATCTTGGCACCTGTAACGTTTACCGTCACTTCAATGTTACTACATTTTCTGTTTCCATTAAACACCAGCTTTCCTATTTCGGTTGCTGATTATAATATGCTTGACGTAATCATACTTAAAATTTGTTATTTAAACTTTACAACTATTCTCATGACGATATTTTTTTATTGTCTACGGTTGTTATTTTTCCTTTGCTACTAATTTATGTTTGAGCCTTATTTAGACATTTAAATCATATTTAGATTTTCGACGTCATTATTTTAAATTAACCAAGAACAATATTATAAATTGAACCAATAGTTTTAATATTTCACGTAATTTTTTTCATTCTATCGCATAATGCTGAGGTTGCCAAAGTGTGTGTTGGGCGGGCCATGGGAAGAGACCAAACATTGAACATATTTCCAGTTCGGATCCAAAAAAAAGAGAAAATAGGGTATTCTTTCACTAGTAAAACGACTGAGTGAGCACTAGGATTTTAGGTAAAACTATTTCTTTGCAAGAGGTAGTAAATTTACATTATACAGTAAAAGATTATTAAAAATTTACAGTATAACAATAGTAATGTCATCTACGTGCCCAGCCCAGGGCCTATGACGACTCTTTTAGTTTAATGACCAAGACGAAGCCGAGCTAGGAAAACGGGCAAAGTTCCAAAAGGTAAGTTGTGCCCATGTGAGCTAAACATTAATGATAAACAAATTTAGTTTTGGGAAACTTTGAGAAATTAAAATATATATTTTGACAACAATTGTATTGTTATTGAATTGGCTAATTTTTTAGATGATTAGTAATATGAAAAGATATTTTGTGAAAAATAACAATTATGTAAAAAAACCATAACACTTTCTAAAATTGTCTTAATTATTTCTAGAAATAAAAATGTTAGCTCTTAACTACGCTTTATTTAATTTCAATCCAAACATAAAGCATTGGTAGTTTTCTTTCAGAACAAACTTTAAAAACAGATTGAAGAAAGATTAGATGTGGTTTAAAATACATTCAGCAAATGTTAATAAAGCAATTGTAACGAAGGGTTAACAGTAAAATGTTAAATGTAGCATTGCACGAACAGAAAGCGGCTTAAAGAAACACCGAATATACGTCAGGCCCGCTACAAAACAGAGACTGATAAATGATTCACATTCGTTACTCTCCTTTACGCTGACTGATTTTCCGTGTTTTTCAAGGTTCTACTTTAAGCAAGACACTCAAAGTACATTGTATTCTATGTATTTAAATGTATAAACCGATAATATCTTAAACGAGTATAATGAGTTGAAGGAAAATAATTATCAATACTTATTAAATTGTATTGAAAATGTTCAACAGTTGTATTGAAGTAAACATATTCGAATACGCCATTATTGTAATCCAAATTGACAATTTTAACGATGAACAATTTACAATAATGTTGTATATTTACATAGTACTGTTTTATGGATCATTTCTTTACGTTTTTTTACCATAACAACTGTAAAACCATAAAGTTTTTTTATACTGTAGAAAAAATTTTAAGTCAGCAGGTTCCTCTTTTTAAGCAAATAGGTATGGCATAGGGCCCTACCAATGCTTACTACGGTATACTGATTGTAAAAAGCACAACGAAACAACAATTATCTAAGATTGCCAAATTAAAAGTCCAATTAATATGTACAAATTAAGATGTATGAATCCTACTAATGAAGTCGTCTGGTCAGACATTTAAGAGCACTGTTGCTTATTATATCATCAAAACAAACCACTGCCTGTTTGAATGTGAGGTTAGTGCCAAGATTGAGACATTGTACAGGTTTGCTGACTGTTTACAGAGCTAAGTACGTAGGTAATCTATTTTTAAAACTTAAACCAACTAATTATTTTGTAAACAGTAAACATATAAATACAGTTTAAAGTACATTATTATTCTGATCAACGGTTAAATATTATAGGTTTCTAGTATAAACGATCATAAAAATAACTCTTCTTTAGGATAGTCTCTTCAGCACTTGATAACCAAGAGTAAGTGGTAAAAAAATCACTTTCCTGACAATAATACAATAGTAGAAATATTGCATTTATAATTAGTATTTTTTTATTATTTCAGATTTACCAAGAGGTGTCTACAATATATTCCTTTATAAACTTTGTTTAGAAAAAAATAAGCTGTTAACAACCTTTCCTATTATTTTATATATTTAATATTCCACTATATATATATATATATATATTGTATATATTTATTATTCTAATATCTATTATTTATTTTATATCTTCGTGTTATATCTTAGGCCAGGCTACAATAATGAGTTGTATGTATAATGTGCATACGACGTAATAGTTACAATAACTTTAATGTGCCAATGTAACATTATGAGTCAAATAACATTTTTTAAATTTTATTCATGAATTTTATATATAAATGTACCTAACAGTATCCTTAAAACATCTCTTAGTTCTAAATATCGCAAGACCTCTGTTGATTTATTGGCAACATTACTGCTATCTCCAGCAGACATGTGTTGCTTGTAAAACTTCTTACACATTTTTTATGTTTTTTTATGTTTACGAAACCACCCCACATGTGAGGTAATAATTTTTTTATATTTAAAGATATCTAAACGTTTTAATATATGAAGACGAAATAAATTATAATGTTGTATTAGATGTCATATCTCTTAATTAGAACTGACCACGAGTTGACTATTCTCTATAGCTCATCAAAAGCTATTAGACTATTTAACATGTAATTTCCGTCAACTATCTATAATAAAACAACTTTTGTATTAATTTGAAATGTATTTGAATATTTACCTAGTCTTGGCAAACTTTGGACATATTTTGGAGCTTTGGAAGTATTTGTTTGGGTGAAATATCAAGCAATTAGAGTCTTTTGCTAGACCGAATATATTAAAATTGTATATAAATAGCTTAAATAACAGGTTAACTTATCTTGATTTCATCTTGTGCTTATGATACCTCCTCTAAGGGTGGAGGACGACCATTTTGGTGACTATGTCACCTTCTTCAGATCATTGTCAAATATTGATTATAAATATTTACTCATATTGAGGTCTTCTAAAAATTTAACAGGCACACACCAACATTTTAGATAAAACATCAAAATACATTTGACTACAACTGTGGCCAAGCAAGTTCGTACCTGTGGTAAGCAGGTAGTACGTAGTCATAGTCAAATATTTATCTTTAATGTTTGTGTGTGCTTGTTAAATGTTTTGACCACCTCAATATGAGTAAAAAAATGCATATTCTTCACAATGATCTTAAGAAGGCAAGATAGTCGCCGAAACGATTGTCAACCACCCTTAAAATCCTTAAAAGAGGCACAGGACGAAATCAAGGAAACTTTATATCTCATGTTAAGTAATTCAAGGCTAAATAAAAATAACAATTAGCTTCTTGATCAGCACTGTACGTCTTATTAAATTTACAATGATTACATAAAGATACATCAATTACACTTGAAACACATACAATATGACGGTAAATACATAAGACGGTTAGTAAATATACAAAAAATGGTAAATGGTGATGATACCTATTCCCTTAATGGGGGTGATGATAATTTCTACATGTCAGTATAGCATAGATGAATATTAGGATGATACAATCATCACAGACTAAAACACTTATAATGTTAATGACAATGGTAATCAACTTTAAACATAAAGGGGTACTGGTCTAATTATATGGTTCGTTGCAAACTGTAATTGAGGAGACTGCAAATACATAATGAACGCTCATGAATAACCAATCGCTAAGATTAAGCACTAATGGGTTATTGGAGGACCTATTTTCGAGACAAGCATAGCATCAAAGTTGCATGCGTCTATTGTGATCTGACTAACCACTAATACTGGGACCAAGCACTGAATGTTGCAGAGCCGGAGTTTTCTTTAAATTTGAAAGAATCGTGCGAACGAACATACTATATACTTAGTTATGTTTTACCACAAATGATGTCTGTATCAAAGATAATTTAAATAGAGTCATAATAGCAAACCAAGTGCTAGATAACTATAAAACTGTACCTGTAAATAAAAAAATGAAAATATGATTTGATGTATGTTTTATTGTAAGATAATATATCATGCCTTATGACATACCATAGATCATAGCAAGCTTATAAAAGTAAAAGCTAATCACTTATTTACTCACTATTTATGCGTCAGAAACGTTGCTGAATAGAAACCTGAAACATAAAGTATAATAGTATTTGCAAAATCAAAAAGTATAATAAGGCTGCTTGAAGATATTTATACAATATTAAAACAAACCAATGACTGATCTGAAGTTGGTGCCTTATGATATTTTTATACAAATAATGATAAAAATAGTATGATATATTAAAAAATGCATTTATGTTAGTGTTTCTCAACAGATTTGGTCTAGAAGTTTTTTCAAATATGTATGTACCTATGCTTAGACATTCTTTGTCGTTTATTTTTTGGTTCGAGAAACAGACACAACATATAAAAGTGAGTTTTAGCAAATATGTTTTTGGAATAATTAAAAATTGTATAATGTACTAAACAGAATTTACTTGAATACAGACTAATTTTCATAGTTAGTAAAATGTAAACGTGCTATCCATAACATGATTATGCTTGTATAACTGTAATTATTCGTTTATATACACGATGTACTCACGAAGTACAATATGAATGAGATTTTCCTAAGTAGCTAACGTGTAAGATAATTTATTTGTAGAGGAGGTAAGCATCTTCTGCTAAGCAGGTAATGCCCTTGTTACTGCCTGATGGAAGCAATAATGGTGTAACCTAATTTCAGATATTAGAAACTGAAGGCCCCTAGAGTGCGCATGCATACGGATGAATACAAAACAATTAAATTTTAAAATACACACATTTTATTGTCATAAACTGAACCTATTTGTGTAAGGGTTTAAAACCTAATATTCCTGCAAAGAGAGTGTCTGTTATTGTAAAGTAGTCGCCTTTGACCAGCTACATGAACTGTGAGCCAATTTCCTTGGCAAACAATATTGATTTAACTACAGCATAACCGTTATCTCTAGCCTTCACGCCACTGCGTGCCTCGTCCGTTACAAGGAGGCAAGTTTTATACAACAATATATATTATACTGCAGCGACGTATTTTATTCATGCAGGTTTTTATACAGGGTGAGTTTTAATTGCCCCCGCCAACTTTTTTCTACATTTTTTCAAATATCAATCCCAGACCACTTTCAAACATTGTTGGGTAGTAAGTACTTTATTTTGACAAGGTGGTCATTTCCGGCCACCATCTTGGATCCGCCATATTGGATGCAAAAATTTTTTTCAAATTTAAAGGTGGGATTGTGACCCATTATTCCGAACTAATTTTTTACAATTTTTACTACCTGATTACAATGTCGCAAACCGTTTTAAAAAATCTTGATTCATTCCAAAGTTATTAGGGCTTTTTAAAACTTAATTTTTAGCCCTTTTTAACATCGTGCATTTACAAACTAAGACCGTAATCTCAAAATAGTGCTAGATAAAGATAAGTATACACTACCAGTCCTTGTCGACCTATTTTCACTTGGTTATGACACATGTATTTTTTGGCCGCCATCTTGGATCCACCATTTTGAAATGTGATAAATATATTTTAAATATGAAGGGGGTGTTGTGACCCATTATTTCAAACTACTTTTTTAAGCTTAACTCAATGCCGCAATTCATTTTTTGTTATCAAGTTTTATTTATGAAATATTGCAATTATTTTGTTAAAAATGTCAATGTTTCAAAATCTAAATATGAAAATGAAAAACGGATCATTGAATTGAGTTCAGCTTAAAAAATAATTTCGAAATGATGGGCCACAACACCCCCTTCATATTAAAAATAATTTATCACATTTCAAAATGGCGGCTCCAAGATGGCGGCCGAAAAAAATACATCTGTCATAACCAAGTGAAAATAGGTCGACAATGGCTGGTAGTGTATACTTATCTTTATCTAGCACTTTTATGAGATTATGGTCTTAGTTTGTAAATGCACAATGTTAAAATGGGCTATAAATGAGTTTTAAAAAACCCTTATAACTTTGGAATGAATCAAGATTTTTTAAACGGTTTGTGGCATTGTAATCAGGGTAAAAATCTAGTTCGGAATAATGGGTCACAACCCCACCTTTACTTTTGGAAAAAAATATTTTGCATCCAATATGGCGGATCCAAGATGGCGGCCGGAAATGACCACCTTGTCATAATGAAGTACTTACTACCCAACAATGTTTGGAAGTGGTCTGGGATTGATATTTGAAAAAAATTAGAAAAAGGTTGGGGGGGGGACAATTAAAACTCACCCTGTATAACAATGTATGTTGTACTGCAGTGACTTTATTTTATTTACAGTATGAATTTTGTTTACGTTTGGTAAAAAACTATCGATTAAAACTATTACAAATCTAGGCAACTCTAGTTCCTTAAAAATTTATGATAAACCATATTATATTACATTTCAACCATTCAACATTTATTTTCCCTTATTTGTAGTCTTCATAGAAAATTACTTTTTAAAGTTTTACATAACGGTTAACTTTACTCTAAAATACTACCTTGCTACTAACGAAAACTCTTTTTCAGATTGTTTAACAGTGAAAAAGAGTGTACAGTAATCTGTTTTTTATACACCAAACCTTTGAGAGCATAGGAGATTATCAATAAACATGATTATTAATCACAGAATTTGAACTAATAACAAATATAATTTTATCTTGCAAAGCAATGTCATTTTACAGGTTTATTTCCTCACTGTCAGGAACTGTTAAATAGAGTAGCATATTCTTAGATAAATAAAAAGTTGTAATTGTACATGTAACAATCATTACCATCAACATAGATTTCAGATTTTTGTAGCTCAGGAAAAATATGGATGATATCAGAATTATAGGTGGGGTTTTGTGAACCTATATTTCAATTATGCATTTTGTTAATCTTAGCAAATTACTAACTGAAACGGAATTAGCATTGTTACTAATTGGAGACTATTTTCGCAATTAATTCGAAAGGAAAAAAGTTTAACCGATTTTTATTTATCTTTTGTTCAACTTTCCCAATTATTTCGTACCCAAACGCGATGGGAAAATATGAATATGAAGGAAGCACAATGAGAACTCCCATAAATACGGTTTGTTTACTCTTCATTGAATATTTTCAATACTTTTCATTGAATCTCGTTTTATCGTTATGCATTTTTGAATGATTATTATCTTATTCATATTGCTTAGTCCCAACGTTATGAAGCAATTTAGCGTTTTCCTGTTGAACTAAAACATTAAAATGTTAAAAATAAATGTGTATCTTTTAGTAAATTAAGCCGTATTGATGATATACAGGGTGAGTTTTAATTGTCCCCCCCCCAACTTTTTTCTATATTTTTTCAAATATCAATCCCAGACCACTTCCACACATTGTTGGGTAGTAAGTACTTCATTTTGACAAGGTAATCATTTCCGGCCGCCATCTTGGATCCGCCATATTGGATGCAAAATTTTTTTTTCAAATGTAAAGGTGGGGTTGTGACCCATTATTTCGAACTACATTTTTACCCTGATTACAATGCCGCAAACCATTTTCAAAAATCTTGGTTCATTCTAAAGTTACGAGGGCTTTTTAAAACATTATTTTTAGCCCATTTTAACATTGTGCATTTACAAACTAAGACCATAATCCCAAAATAGTGCTAGATAATGATAAGTATACACTACTAGTAATTGTCCACCTATTTTCACTTGATTATGACTGATGTATTTTTTTCGGCCGCCATCTTGGATCCGCCATTTTTAAATGTGATAAATTATTTTAAATATGAACGGGGTGTTGTGACCCATCATTTTGAACTACTTTTTTAAGCTAAACTCAATGCCGCAATCCATTTTTTGTTATCAAGTTTATTTATGAAATATTGAAATTTTTTTTGTTAAAAATGTCAATATTTCAAAATCAAAAAATGAAAATGAAAAACGGATTATGGAATTAAGTTCAGCTTAAAAAAGTAGTTCGAAATGATGGGTCACAACACCCCCTTCATATTTAAAATAATTTATCACATTTCAAAATGGCGGATCCAAGATGGCGGCCGAAAAAATACATCAGTCATAACCAAGTGAAAATAGGTGGACAATTACTGGTAGTGTATACTTATCATTATCTAGCACTATTTTGGGATTATGGTCTTAGTTTGTAAATGCACAATGTTAAAATGGGCTAAAAATAAAGTTTTAAAAAGCCCTCGTAACTTTAGAATGAATCAAGATTTTTAAAAACGGTTTGCGGCATTGTAATTAGGGTAAAAATGTAGTTCGAAATAATGGGTCACAACCTCACCTTTACATTTGAAAAAAAAATTTTGCATCCAATATGGCGGATCCAAGATGGCGGCCGGAAATGAAGACCTTGTCAAAATGAAGTACTTACTACCCAACAATGTTTGGAAGTGGTCTGGGATTGATATTTGAAAAAATGTAGAAAAAAGTTGGGGAGGGGGACAATTAAAACTCACCCTGTATGTTTAGTGATATTGTTTATTGTTAAATATAGTTGTTACAAATCTAATCCACATGAAAACCTTATCCACACCCATTAAAATATCAACTCAATTTTTAATTAAGTAAATCACCTCATTAGTTCTAAATATAACGTACAGTACATACCATATTTTAGAGTGAATGCACATATTAAACCTTTGTAAAAAGAGAGGTTGTAATTAAATATTTAATTTGGTTGCCATTTCTCTGCAGAACACATTTACTGAAAAAATGCATACAAATTTACTGAATAAATGTATGTTTAACATTTACTCTATCTTTCCATCTGAGGTTATTTAACTAAAATTACATTTATAAAGGTTTTTTGGAGTATTTTTAGTTTTTCTATAATTTCCCTGTTTTGCTACGTATTGGTTTTTACACCAACATTGAAGTGTGGCTAACTTTATTTTTTTAACACGTTTATTTTTAAACATTCAACAGTAATATAGAATGCATATGATTCTGTAATGTTTCAAAGCTTTGTTTTTTTTTCGTTTGCTATGTCTCATTAATATATGGATATGATACTTTTGGCTTCAACAAATGACGGTTAGGATTACTTTAATAGCAGATTTTCTTACTCTGATAGGTTGCAATTATTTAAATAAAACGCTTTAAAACAAAAAATTTTTAACTTTGTAATACTAATAT